GACTCTGAAGGATTCATAGGCCCTTGGTCTAGAACAGTGGTTCTCAACCATCCTAATGCCGCGACCCTTTAATACAGTTCCTCATGTTTGGTGACCCCCCACCATAAAATTATTTTCGTTGCTACTTCATAACTGTAATTTTGCTACTGTTATGAATCGTCAAGAAAATATCTGATATGCAGGATATATTTTCATTGTTACAAATTGAACATAATTAAAGCATAGTAATTAATCACAAAAAACAATATATAATTATATATGTGTTTTCCGATGGTCTTAGGCGACCCCTGTGAAAAGGTCGTTCAACCCCCAAAGGGGTCGCGACCCACAGGTTGAGAATGGCTGGTCTAGAACATGCGCTATGTGGCTGTAGTCTTTTCAAAACAGAATTTTCTGACTGAAAGAGACCTTTTATCCAACCCCAGACCTTTAGAGGGGAGGGAACTGTGATGGCTAACTATTTAATAGAAGGTTAAACCAACGCTTAGATCCATTCAGATCTTTTAATTTTAATTTTTTTTATATTAATAGTCATCTTTAGCATTTCTACGTATCAGGCTCTGTGCCAAGCATTCCAAATATTATCAGAGTTAATGAACTCAAACACTCTATAAAGTTGTTTTCTGTTCTCCAGTTACATCACCTGTAATGCAGGGATCATATTATCACCTTCGTTGCAGGGTCCATTTGGATCTTTTAATCGAGAACCCTTACTTCCAACTTTCTTATTGGAAAGCTTAAGTTATAGTCTATATACACATGAAGGGGGGTTCTTGATACATATCACTTACTTGTAAATCAGGTATGATGACAGAATGAGACACTTCAGAAGTTTTAAGATATCATAGGGAATGCATGATATTTGAATGTAGAGCTGATATATTGGCCCAGTGGGACTCATGGCATAATCAGAACACAACTTTACTCTCTGCTATCATGCCTGTTTAAGCCTGCTCCGCGGGGCCAGTTGTCTCCCTGGCCTTTGGATGGATTATTTCATAGGCCCTATAACATTTTTAGGTCACTCTTTAATAATAAAAAGCCTCTGGCTACTTTTAGTTTAAAAAGTACAGTGTTATATAAGTAGTTACTGTGTCTGGAGCAGTGTCATAATGCAAAACTCCAAACTTCAGTGGCAAGGGGAGCGATGGCTCGCTTCCGCTGTATTCCTCCGAGCCCGGAGCCTGTCCCATCTTCCACACTCACTAGGCTGCCCAACGCCTCCAGGGCTACAGTGGGGAAGCGGAGGCAGAAAGGCCTGGGGGGCTCCAGCTGCCATTGCTTCCTCTGGCCATGGCAGACGTTTCCAGCTGACACTTTCTCTCGTGGGCACTTTTATGGGTTTGTCAGAACCATCGCTGGGAATCTCTCACCACCCATTTCCTTGGCACAGGCAAGTTCGTTTTTTGCCTGTGACTAGTTGCCTTAGATTCAGTCCCTCCCCTCCCCCACCCCAGGGGCCCCAGCACCTGGAGGCAAACCTCTGGCTGCTTTCTGCTTGACTTTCCAAGCAGTCGTGTTGGGTAGGATCAAAGTCAAGCCCACACTGTCTCACTCTCTTGGGCTTGTCTTCCGTGGGAGTAAACTACTTCCTCACCCTCGTTCCTACCCTGTGTTCAGGCTGCTTTTGCCAACTCTGGCCCTTTAGATTTCTCAGGCATGAGGCAGGCACCAGTCCATGGTGTTCCCCCAACTGCAAGGGACACATCCTGAGCTCTCTGAGAGGTCTGCCCGAAGTGCCTCTTCACCAGGTGAGAGTAGAGCCCCCTTCACCCTGTGTGTCACCGTGGGTGGGGGCAGGATGCAGGGGAGGGGCCACTTAGAACACCTACAACTCCTCTACAGAAGCTCTCTCTAATCCACAGCAGTCTCCTCAGCCTCCACTTCAACTCTCTTACACCTTCATGGTAAGGACGAGGTTCCGGAAACACTCCTTTGCAAGTCCTGCACCTTGTTTGGAATGTAGGAATGGTAGGCAACCATTATGTGAGCCTCTGATAAAATGGAAATAAAACAATAGTTCCCACTAACATCCTGTTACCAAATGTATTCTCATTCTCTTTCCAACTACTCCCACAAGGTTTTCTTTAATAGGTAGATGTTGGTAAAGATCAAATGCCACTTCAACCAACTTTGTATGGCTTTGTTGTTTATCAGAGGAGACTTGAATTATTGGTGGTTAGGGAGAAGGGTTGGCTATAACTTTGTTATACAGAGATTTTTTTTTATTATTATAACTAGATTCATTATAATTTGACCAGGGGCAGGAACTCCCAGAATCCTGGCAGTATTATTTATGAGTTGTGCTTCTCAAGTGTGTTTTTCCAACTGAATAAGGAGAGTGATTTGAATCATCATCAAGAGCAAATTGGCTGGGAATATAGAATTTCCTTGTAATTCTAATGGTCTGTAGTTGTTTCCATAAGATAAGTTCACTTATACCAAAGAAACTATCACCCTGGCCCTAACGGGTTTGGCTCAGTGGATAGAGCGTTGGCCTGAGGACTGAAAGGTCCCAGGTTCGATTCCGGTCAAGGGCATGTACCTTGGTTGTGGGCACATCCCCAGTAGGAGGTGTGCAGGAAGCATCTGATCGATGTGTCTCTTTCAACAATGTTTCTAACTATCCCTCTCTCTTCCTCTCTCTAAAAAAAAATCAATAAAATATTTTTTTTTAAAAAAAAAGAAACTATCACCTCAACTCAGATGGATGGACGCCTGAGCTATTCACCAGAGTTGGGTCAGCACAGTTGATAGAGTAACATGGTGTCCAAATCGTGGTGCCTCATTGGGGTCCCGTGGCATGATTATGTCCCTGCATATTAATTTCCATCCTACCCCAGGAAGTTTGTTGCTGTTATCTATCTTCAGGCCTTAAGCCCTGTTTGTTCTGTAGTTAGCCCTTTCCTCAAAGCCTGAAGCATTTTGGAACACTGTCAACATATCACTCAAGAATACAGGATGACCCAGCTGGTATGGCTCAGCCGTTGAGCAGTAACCCAGGAACCAAGAGGTCGCCTGTTCAATTCCCAGTCAGGGCACATGCCAGGGTTTGGGGGTTGATCCCCAGTAGGGAGCATGCAGGAGGCAGCGGATTGATGATGTTCCTCTCTTACCAATGTTTCTATCTTTCTCTCTCTCCTCCTTCCTCTCTCTCTATAAATATAAATAAAAGCATTTTTTAAAAGAATACAGGATGAACCTTCAAACACATTTTTAAAAATAGACATCCAGCACTAGAATAGTATTTCAATACTACACCCGTACATGATTTAAAATATCTAAGGTCATATTGCATATATGGCAGACAAATTTTAATGGGTGGGATGCCAAGACCAATAAAAGATAAAAGCACAATTAAATTTATGTTTTGTTTGTCCTCAGTTCTCTTGAAGCTTCACCAAAACTCCCATGACAGCTGAAACCGGTTTGGCTCAGTGGATAGAGCGTCGGCCTGCGGATTGAAGGGTCCTGGGTTCGATTCCGGTCAAGGGCATGTATCTTGGTTGCGGGCACATTCCCAGTGGGAAATGTGCAGGAGGCAGCTAATCGATGTTTCTCTCTCATCAATGTTTCTAACTCTCTATCTCTCTCCCTTCCTCTCTGTAAAAAATCAATAAAATATATTTTTAAAAAATTAAAAAAAAAAACTCCCATGACATTAACAGAATCTGAGTATAGCAACCAATTTTCCTTCATGCCAGCATTTTACATAATGTTTCAGCTGTCAATATCACAGTCAGGAATGTAATTTATTTCACTGGGTTTATTTAGATAGACGTTTTGGAGATGAAGGTGGCAGTGACATAGCGCTGCTGACAAATGGTTCTGGGCTTGCTATACTCACAAATCCAAGTTGGTTTCTCAAACAAAAGTGAGCCTGGCTCTAAGTGAAAATGAAAATGTTCCAACAAATTAAACATAGTGCAAGGATTCTGAGTCCTTCCATAGAGAAAAGGAAAAATAAAGGGCATATTACCAATCAGGGATCCTATTCCCAGGAAAGGCAGTGTCTTAGTCATGGGCATGTCAGAATCACCTGTGGCTCTTCTTAAAAATACGATTCCCCTCCATTCCGGGTTGGGACTGAGGGGAAGACCCGGGCCTTTGCCTTGTCTTAAAACACCACCCTGTCCGGTGATTCTGATGTGCAGACCGTTGAGAGGGACCACAAATTGTTTGGATCGACCCAGAAGTTTTAAAAGAATGGCCTGGGAGCTCTGGCTGGAGGGCTCCTGCAGTCAGGGCAGAGTGGTGGGGCTGGGAGGGGCGTCACATCAGAACTGGGGTTCGGTCATAGATAGGCCTCCAGCAATTCTTTGAGAAAATCACAGATCACTTTGAGAGTCTGATGGAAACTATAGTTACTCTCTCAGAAAAACACACATAGCCTAACCTCCACAAAATTTAGCACACACTTTCAGGGGATTCTAGATTAGAATTAAGTTTTTTGTTTTTGCTATTTTCACCGAAGGGGTAGCAGTCCCATTTGTTAAGGTGAGGAAAACAGGAGAGGCCAGGAGAAGCACACAGTCTAGTACCAGGAGAAAACAATAACAAATCAATATATACACATGTAAACAATAATTACAAGAGTGTGGGGGGAGGGAGCGTTCACGAATGTTTAATTGGGGAATTCGAACCGTGTGCTTTGAGAAGAAACAGATAAATGAGACAGGTGTGGTACAGAGGCCCCAAAAAGAATGCAGATCAGTCTAAGGCAGGATGATAAAGGACCTACTGTGTGTGGGCGCCCCCTAAAACTAAGTTACATGGTGAGCGCCTGATAAAAATGGCACCGATCCAGCTGCGGCTAGAGGTCAGTGACATGGTGCCACTGGTAGATCGGGGTCTGGGGTGGGGGGAGCTATTAAAACGCTGATGAATACAGTTTTTGTGACAGACTCTGGGAGATTCTGGGAGGGAGAGAGCAAGCTGGCGCTGGGAGGGCGGCCTTGGAGTAGGCCATTCATCCTCAGGGTCAGAAGTTGGCCCGGTGTTTGCTCTTTACGATGAAACAAAACCGCGGGAGAGCGCTGAGCGGTGGAGAACTACATCCAGCCAGTGCGCATTCAAATGATTTTTAGCTGCGATGTGCAAAAACCCTAGGTGCGCGGATAGAAGGGAGCCAGCCAGAAGGTTACGACAGGTCAGGAATAAATAACCAGCAGGCGGAGGATCCCTCAGATTCCGTCCTTCCTTTTGTCGGGTGCGGAGCGCCCGGCGAGCGCGTCCACAAAGGCTTTGGGAAGAAGCGGTTCCGCGGTGCACACTCGGCTCCAGCCCCGGGTAACGATCAGGGACCCCGAGGGGTGGTGGAAGCGGCCCGCTCTCGCTGGCAGGGGCCCCAGCATAAGTCGGGGGCGGGCCGCGGCTCGGCGGACG